TTGAGCAGGTTTCAATCGACCTTAAATTTTAATTTGTCTCAAGTATAAACATGCGTTTTTCTCCTTTGTCGTTCCACACGGTATTTAAAAAAATCCCAACCTGTTTTACAAAAGGTTCGGTTGATTTCTAATCATCCACCCAACCAAACCCTTGTGTAGCATCCATCGCATTCCATACACCTGTCTGACTCACCCTAATCTCCTCCTGCGGTGAAAACGACATCAACGTTTTTACAGACCGCCAGCGACTGCATATTCGGCATTTTTTAAAAAATAATGCCAGCACATTCTTACATTTGCAAGCATAGTTCAATTGTTGAAGCATAGGACAATCGAGTGAAATTTGATGCTCTACATCCGGAATAGAGTCGATGCGAATTGCCTGTATATTCAACCTGGAAGGAAATAAAAATAAAAACGAGGCCTTTTGTCGCCTAGTTAATAGTTCTACGTATACATTCAAGATGGCCGTCCTGGGTATGACGATAAACTACATCCGTGTCCTGGGTAAGACGATATACTACGTCCAACAGCAAGGCCTCTGATCAGGTTGTGAGGAGCGTGGAACCAGCTCTTAATTGCTGGTGTTCCCAGGTCCACCCTGACCCGGGGTCAAAGCACTATGAATGTGCAAAAATAGGTTTTAATACCAGAAATACTTTGTAAAAAAATATTACCAGCAATAAAATTTTGAAGGGAAATTATTACCAGCAATACTTTATTACCAGCAATACATTTTTGAAAAAAAATAAATTTACCAGCTACATTTAAGAAAAAAAATAACATTACCAGCAATAAAAATCTTATTGGCATAAATAACCCATTGAGGTTGATATGCCCAAAAACAAAACAAGACAAACAAACATTCAAGATGGTATCTTTTTGTACTTAGACTCAACACGGAGATCTACATCAAGGGTCAAGAGGGTGGCTGCTAGAAGATCATATTTCTGGCAACAGGATTCTGCACCATGCCACACAAGCATGAGGGCCCAGTCATGGCCGTCAGACAATTTCTGCGACCACATAACCCTCTTATATCTGGCTACCCAACTTCCCAGACTACAAATCCCTTGATTATTATGTGTGGGGTGCAGTTAAGCGAGAGAACAACAAAACTCCTTGTAATACCAAAGATGAACTGAAGGCAAGAATTATGGTAGTTTTCATCAACTTAAACAAAGAGAACCTCCAGTAGAGTTGCAGGAGATTCCGAAGTCGTCTGGAGGCCGTGATTGAAGTCAATGGCGAATTATTGAATAATTTTATTTTTTAGTATTTCAAGATATTTTTATGTAATTTTGATAACTATATCTATTAAAATGAGATGTCAGTATTATTTTAATTTCTGCGTAATTTAGACAACAATTTATTTATCGCACTCTGTCCATTCGAAATAGTTTTACTATAGGAAGGAATTGAAAATGATTTTACTATAGGAATATGTAATAAACTTTCTGTATTTTTCCTAGAAAATAGAAATGTGACAATTCAAATTTAAAGAAATTTGAATTGTCACATTTCAATTTTCTGATGAATGAGAGGTCTCAAAAAAGGACGCCACGTTTTCTAACACTTGCAGACGATAAAAATTCAAGGATTCAATCACTGCAAAATCTTAGTGTCCTCGCTATCCTAAATTGTTGAATAAAAAACTATATAATTTTTAGCCAATTATAATTCTTAATTTGTATTTTCTTTTATTTCCTTTGATTTTTAGCATTAAAAAATAACTACAGAACTTGAATTTACACCACCAGATTATTAACTTAGGCTTCGCTACTGCTACTTCTGAGACATACACATATGTGCTCTCAACATAAATATAATTTCGCGAACTTCTTCAATTCTCCTTCTTTTATGTACCGTGTTCCTTCAGGAAGTAGGTGATCATAGCTTTCCTCTCCTTTGTAGTTCTTAATAAATTTTGTCTTTTTATCTTTCCTAAACCTTGCTCCGCCATCCGTTTACTCAAACTCCCCCTTGCATTCACTCTGTCTTATGAGTATCAAATTTTCGAAGCCCTCTTTCCTCATTATTTCATCAGTCACTTAATATTAAGTATAAGTGTCCTTTTTGTTTACATTTTCTTTAAAACTTCATCGTTGCTTACATGTTCGGTCTAAAGTATTCTCAGCATCCTTCTGTAGAATCGCATTTCTGTTACTTCAAATCTCTTCATTTGTGAAGAAATTGTCCTGCATTCACTGTCATATAGAATAATGATATTGCATAACCGTCCAGTAATCTTTTCTTTGTTTCTAACGAAATTTTTCTGTTTCTTAATACTTTGCTTAGCTTTTGGACGGTATCTTTCGCTATCCCAACTTGGTTGCCAGCTACAAATTCATTGGAAATGATTCTATACAGGAATGCATTGAAAATGATTTTACTATGGTAATGTTAATATTGACTGTTTCCTCATAAGGAAACCTTTGACATTCATTCACCGAGCAGCTGTCGTTTGAAATTTATAAAACATTTCTCTTAAGATAATTTTTCCGGAAAATAGGTTTCTTAAGTCTACTGTTATTGCTCTTTCCAGTACTGATGGATGTTTCCTTCTTAATTTTTTAATGTGAAAAGTTAACATCTTATGCCATTATTTTCTCTTTGAGTTACATGTACCTTCCATTTTAGTTGTTGCCGTTGTTGATAGCCCTCAAGTCATATTGTTTCTGTTATTTGGCACAGTTCTTTGTGAATCTGTAGCGCCAGTCCACAATGAAGGATGATCTTCGCCAGAAGACACAGACTTCACTCACTCAAAACCATTTTAAACCATTGATCTGAGAAAGCGGTTTGGATACAGCACACAGTTTAAATATTTCTGAACGAATTTGACGCCATGTATAACATCCATATGAAGGTCTTTATCTGACTAGGCTATTTAAGAACATGACTCGAGTTATCAGGTTAACCCTTTTGTTTTTGAAGCAATTTAGGGTGTTGGGCAAAACTATCACTGGCGCACCCTATTCTATGTCCAGGTTCCTTATCTGCTATACCAAATTCTGTCGAACGATTTCAAGATATCCAAAGCAACATTCTGAGCTTCACCATTCTTATCAAAAGCTTGATAGATTCTTTCCGCAGTATTCGTTATTACATCGGCAGCTGACTTAGAGAAACGAAAGCCATATTGCATGTCTGTAAAAGGGCATCTCTTAGAAAGGATTTTACTATAAGAATGCACTGGAAAGGAATTTATATACTAATGCATTGGAAATTATTTTAATATAGGAATGAATAGGGAAAGATTCTATATAGTAATGCAGTGGAAATGATTTTATATAATAATGCATTGGAAATGATTTTACTTGAAATTAATGGGAAACGATTTTCCTATAGGAATGCATAAGACATTATTTTACTATAGGAATGTATTGGAATGGTTTTATTATAGGAGTCCATTAAAATGATTTTATACATTGGAAAGTGTTTTAACGTAGGAAATGCACTGAAATGGATTTTACTACACGAATATATTGAAATTATTTAAAAATAGGAATGAATTAGAAATGATTTTATATAGTAATACATTGGAAACGACTTTTATGTGTGTATGCATTGAAAATGCTTTTACTGTAAGTATTCATTGAAAGTTTTTTCTGTAGAGATGCATTGAAATGATTTTACTATAAGAATAAATTAGAAATGGTTTTATATAGCAATGCATTAGAAACGATTTCAACATAGGATTGCTTTGAAAATGCTTTTACTGCAAGAATGCACAGAAAATGATTTTGCTATAAGAATGCATTGAAACGATTTTACTTATATGGATGTATTGAACATTATTTTAATATAGGAATGCATTGAAATTATTTTACTATAGAAATATATTGGAAACAATTTTTATATTGGAATAAATTGAAATTATTTTGCCATAGAAATATATTAGAAACTGTTTTAATATAGGAATGCTGTGAAATGATTTTACTAGAGAAATACATTTGTATAATTCTTATGCTAGACATTAGGATTTATTAAACAAATATGTTAAAACTTTGTTTCATTATAATCCTTCTAAACATTGTCCCACAATTCTAGCCAAGAAGTTTTCTCAAGCGTTTGAGAATAAATGCATAAAAAACTCCTTGGAATCTTCTATTGGAAACATAAAACCAATGAGTTTGTGCGGGAAAGTGTTGAAAGTTTTTGTGGGTCACCAGGAACCTCTTCTTGCCACTGCCAAACGGAGAAATATGGCGTGATTTGGACACATTACAAGGCACGACAGCCTGCACAAGACCATCATGCAAGGCACCTTTGAAGGTGGACGTAGGAGAGAATGCCAACGTAAAAATTGGTTGGACAATGCCAAACAACGGACAAGTATGACTCTACCAGAACTGATGATGGCTGCCGTTGATAGATCGTTGTGGAGGAGATTTAGTGTGGCTTCTGCATTCGGATCCCCCCACCCCCGACAATTACAAAAGTCAAGGGAATGATGATGATGATGATGATGTATTGAATCTAGAGTCAAATTTTCAGGCTTACTTATGTTTTCCCAGTAACTTTTCCTTTTAATTCATAACACATCTTCAGTGCTAAGAAAACTCATCATTTTTATTGATAGAGGAAATATTGGTTTATATATTTTTTGACCTTAGATTTCAACAAGATTCAGTATTAAAACTATCGGTTATGTATTGAAATTGAAAAATATTTTATCAGTGGTTAATAATTAAGACAAACCTTTTTCTTCTTTTCAGTGCTATATTCTTCCAGAACGTAGGCGATGATGGCTCTCCGCAACTTCCTCATTTTTGTTGCTCTAAGTAAATTCTGATTCTTTACCGTGCCTCTTGGTCATTGTTCACAATCTCGTTAAGACGGCTACTCGCTGTTTTTTAAAGTTCTCTTGCCTTCAATATGTCCTGTGTGTGTTAAATTCTCTAGGCTATCTTTCCTCATTATATGTTTCAGAAATTTCAACCGACTCTTTCTGATTGTAAGTATAAGTTGACATAGATCCAATTTTCATTAGGAGCTTACAGCCATACCATATCGAAACAGCAGTTCTTGTATGATCACCGACGTTAAGCAACGTCGTGCCTGTTCAGTACCTAGATGGGTGACCTCTTGGTAATACCAGATACTGCAAGCTTGGATTTACGGATGGTATCATGAAAAACAGCTCGGAATTGGAAAACAGAAACCCGTGTCCCATTCCAGTTGGGTTCGTTATATTCACTGACACGCAAATACCCTTGGGAAAGGAAAGCATCCACCTCTTCTCACCCCAGCTATGGGTTAATTAGTAGGTCTTGTATCAATAAATCATTATTATCTCCAAAAAACTAAAAAATATTTTCTGGCTTTAAATAACATCAAAAGGTTGATAAGACGTGAAAAATCAATCAATAGATCAAACCAATTTTCATTAGAACTTATATGTTCAGTATATTGTATTTTTTCATTCGCCGCTAGAATCATAACTCTTTTGCTTTAATCACTATCAATAGGAGATTAGATATTACAAAACAATACAGAAATACGAAATATTCTTTACTCTTAATACTTTGCTGAGTTTCTGGAAAACAGCTTTCACTATTCCTCATCGCCTTCAGATTTCTGTGTCACTTTCCGTCGTCTGTTACTAGACTACCCAGATATATACAATTTTGTATAAAATTGATTTTTTCCTTTATTACCTTATCTCAAAATTCTCCAAGGTTTCTTTCTGAGACTGCCATCAACAAAGTATCATCCTCGTATCTAATTTTAATAGTATGCCCGCTGATAATAAATCCTGGTAGGTTGTCTAGTTCTCTTTGGATCGTCATGTTGTGTGGGTTAAATAAAACCGGTAAGAAAACACACCCTTGTTTCTATTTTCGCGTTACACAGTGAACTTGTTCTCTGTCCTCGTTTTACTGACAAAACAAAACTCTTATATGTATAACATAAATAAATGCACTGATCAACTAGAAAAATGCATTGTTAATAGTCAGGAATGGATTCTAAAAAAGGCAATTAAGACATACAAACAAAATAAGATTTTTATTTGTATAATACACGGAGTTGTTACTCGCCTTTAATTTTCAGAATCAGTTATAATCGATATACTTTCAACAAAAGATCAATTGACTTATCTGATTGACCGATTCAAGAGATTCGCGTCCAAATGCTCATTAGGGACAGATATTCAACTATTTCTTTTATGATTTTTTTCTTTTATTTCTTTTTTAACGTTTCTTTTCTGGTTAGTTTTTATTTCGTTTGTAACTTTGTTTCTTTCTTTTTCTATTTTTGCTTTTATCGTGTTTGTTACTTGGTTTGTTGGTTTCTTTCATTCCTTCATTCTTTCATTCCTTTATTCTTTCATTCTTTCTTTACAGATTTTTCTTTTATTTAGTTTGTTACTTGATTTGTTAGTTTCTTTCAGCCTTCATTCTTTCATTTTTTCCTTCTTTACTGTTTTTTCTTTTATCTTTTTTTGTTACTTGGTTTGTTTGTTTCTTTCATTCCTTCATTCCTTCATTCTTTCTCTTTCTTTTCTGTTTTTTCTTTTATCATTTTGTTGCTTGGTTTGTTTCTTTCATTCCTTCGTTCCTTCATTCTTCATTGTTTCATTCTTTCTTTACTGTTTTTTCTTTGTTCTTGTTTGTTACTTGTTTTGTTTGTTTCTTTCATTCATTAATTTCTTTATTGTTTCATTTTGTCTTTCTTTTCTGGTTTGACTTTAATCTCGTTTGTAACTTTGTTTGTTTGTTTCTTTTAAGTTTTTATATACTAGTAAAATCTACGATATTATCACCGTAAAATTGATAATTCGATGTGAATTGTCCTTTGCATTTTGCCTACTCCTAACAACTTTTTTTCGCCTTCTGTTTCCTTTTCAGCTTCACTGATCATCTTCATCAATTTTGAATTAATTCCATTTTAACTCCACTCCGTTTGCAAGTCCATTTTTCTTTATTCCTTGTTTTTTACATTTTTTCAACTAATCAGATGATTGAGTCTTGTTAATTGTGATTGTTCAATTGTAAAATTCCATTTTCCTTTCTCGAACTTGATTATTTTTTCGCGTAGGTTACTGTTTAGTGAAGCCATTTTAAAGGTTTTAAATTCAGCTTTCTTTTTCCATTTGCATTGTTAAGAAGACATATTCTATTACGTATTTGTGACGTCATTCGTTTTTATAAATTTTGCCTTCTATTATTTAAGGATAATTTATAATAATGTCTCAAATGCACTTTCTTTACGAAAGTCCCTTTTTTTAATTATCTGAAAACGCCCTGTTCGTTCCTATCTTTGTACAATGCTATAATCTATTTTTAACAGCTTTTGATTGTAAAATCATTACAAACATTTTTTTCTTTTCACTTTTCTTTCTCGTTAGTTACTTTTATTTATCTTGCTAAATAAATAAATTCTGCCCGGGTTTATTTCTATTCCTTAGCATATTTCAGTTCATTTTACTCTCTCATCCTCTATTTTCATATCTACGAGAGGCTTTGTATACTATTGTTCACGCAATACAAATCGCAAGAGCCACCCAAGGTAGAGGCTTACTGAATGAGATTTTTGTAAGGGCGTAAAGAGAGGAGGTAAGAAGTGCATGAGGATATGTAGGATAGATATCAGTTGACTCTAGATTTGAAGAGGTTAATAATGTAAGGATCAGGGAAGCATCCTCATGAGCGTCTGTTTCACAAAAAGCAAGAATTCTAGAGTGTAAGCTATCTAAGTGGAATTTACTCTTTACCAAAGGAATATGAGGGAAATAAAGATGTGTGTACATGGTATAGCGGAACCTTGCTGTAAAGGTCTGAACTTGTGGAACTAAGGAATATTTGTCATGAAAATAGCGATAGAGTACCGAGAGACTAGTATCGATTCCTCTGTAGGAAAAGGGCTGCAAGATGAAAAATAATTCATCACCCATAAGACCGCGTAAAACTCTGTCTAGCAATACTCCAATTTTTAGTCTGGTCCGACTCTTGTAAGGATTACAGTATGGTAGTAAGAGTTGTATACATTCTGGAGCGGTACAAGAAACCGACCATTCTTCCAGCATCTTTTGCGATGGCACCGAATATACGACTGCCCAATTTGAAATCTGGAGTGATCTGTAGTCTCAGTAGACGTTTGAAGTATGGAGCCTGTCAATGTAATTAACCGAATAGCACTTTGAAAGCAAAGTTTTCTGGTTTGGTCACTATTTGATGCTACTATATTCAAAGTAATTCTATTGTAAAAGTAATGCATTTCATGAGACGATATAGTAACTGCTGAAAATGTTCTTGGAACTCATTTTCCCAAATAATTCATAGTAATATATTAACGTGTTACTGAATGTCATGTACGTCAGGAAATATTTATCCTTTGAAAGCATTTATCAAGTTTGGAAAAAAAAAAGAGAAGAAATAATAGGTGGCAAGGAGTGAATAAGGTGAATAATACATTTTTGTATTTTATTTCTCCCCACCTTCTAAGTGAATAGGGAAATAGTGGGACATATACGTTAGTATATGTCCCACTATTTTCCCATTCAGTTTTCTACTATCAGTCCTGTTGTAACCTAGAGAAGGTTACTGAATAGAATAATCAAACGAATGATAATACTTAGGACATGAGCAACACATATAAGATTCGCCAGCGGTGCGTAGAAGTAGTCAACTTCCAGAAGTGAGTCAAGTGAATTCCACAATGAATCTTCAACTGCAGAAAATCTACCAACCCCACGCGGTCAGATGTGGCACAAGGCCAAATTTAATGTGGGGTATCCGAGCCCGTAGGCCAAAATTTCCTCGTAGACACCGTATGAAATGGAGTCGGGTAGTTGTTTCCCGAGGCGAGACGCTGCCCTTCAACAGAGCCTCATCTGGGGAGGCAGAGAGCTTGACCAGAATAGCCGGAGACGAATCTCCAGCTACAGACCAACATACAGTATTTACTACTGTATTTATGCGAATGGGGACATACCCATTATACCGTAGGTATGCAACAACCATTCATACACTTAATATTCGGTCTGATTGCACCAAGGTTCACACTCCCTCCACATTTTCATCAGTTCTTTGTGTTTTGGTCGGCTACTTTTTGCGTCATTGTGCGTACAATCCTGAACAACCTGGAGCATTAAAAAACCTTCGAGTCATTACAGAATGTTCACCATAAGCCATTTTAATAAGGCTAGCGTTTCACTAGCACCTTCACCAGTCCCTAAACAAAAATTGATGTTAATTCGCAGTTTAAGCTTGCTTTCGTTTCTTTTCCGCTAACACTACAACATGAAGAGGTTCCAATTCCTTCTCAATAAAGATTAATGCAACTGGTTTGCACCTCTCAAAAATACAGACGTTGGAACGACGCATTGTGATCATTCTAGGAATCAAATTGTTGCACCTTCTATCTATCTATCTATCTATCTATCTATCTATCTATCTATCTATCTAAAACTTTTTCCTTTTCCATGCTCCCGTCTTCTAAGGTGAGATTTTTCTTTAAGTGTCGATTTATATTTAGATAAATGATAACTCCTCATCCTATACCGGAAAGGGTTTGAAAACAAATTTAAGTTAATGCTATTGTAGTTTAACCACACACACATGGGCTGTCCCAGCTATAAATAGGAGCAGGTACTGCCTATTGGAGAGGGAAGTTTCCAGCAGTCAGCACTGATAGTCTCTGAACATTTTTGCTATGACACTCTCGTTTGCATATGATGGTATTACTGTTTCTGTTAATATATTTAACTCAATTCCTCTCTTGTGTCTTTATTTCTGGTCCTAACAAGGCCACAACAGTTAAATTTACTTAAATATTAGGATGTTAGGAAAGTAATTCCATTTTAGCATAAAGGACATAATTTAACAAATGTAATTTTTCAACATTATTTATAAACTATATAAACACCTTTATTTTTAACAACTGCCGCCCAACGGGAACACAACTTTTCGATTCCACATTCAAAGATAAAAAAAAAAAGTTTGTAAAGGCCATTTTCAGCTTCTTTGTTTCTAAATGTTCTGTCGATGTGGACATAGTGTGAACCTTAGTGAGCTCAGACCGAAGATTAAGTGTGCCATTGATAGCAGAAGAATTGAATAGGTGAAACAGCGGGACAGATTCTAACATAATGACCTAGAGATTAAAACAAATTAAAATTTTTAGAGACCAAATGTGGCGTTTGGTGGAATGCGGAAGGACTTCCATCTTAATTACATTATTTTTTTTTTCTGGGGCTTGTTTTGCGGAGTGTGTCCTTGTATTGATATGCTAAAGAATAATGGCACCATCTCAATCCAAACATGAGTGCCACCAATGTCCGCAGGGACAAATGCGAAATCAGATAAAATTAAATGTAAGATAGAATAGATCAGATAAAAATAAATATAAGACAGAATACAATAGCCATCACTCAAACAATAATGAGATAAGAGAAGAAATAAATAATATGACAGAGGATGTGGTAAAAACTAAAATAAATGAGATACGAAATAATGATCTCCCAGGAAATAAAACCGAAGAATCTATCTGCGACATAAAGTGCAATTATTCAGATTATATCACTGAAGATGAGACAAACTCCATTAGGGTAGAATTCCTTGAAAAGAAAAGAGATGAAATCACCGAAGCGAAAAAGCACATCATCCAAGGACTCAGCAGAGTAACTCTTACACTAATGTCAGACAGAGACCCGCTCCCAAAAATTCATATGACAAAGTCCAATAAACATATGCAAATAGACGACGCTGCACTGCAAACACTGTTAACAGAAAAAAAAACACACTGGGAAACATCACACAAGTAAATGATGTCATATACTGGGAAGCTTGGAGTCACGACAATAAAAAGATCAAACAGACAGAAAGACCCAGTTTGGAAGATAAGATTGATGCTAGAAATACAGGATATCAGATGTGAGATATCGATATTAGATCTCGATCACAAGAGACCAAATATCTCATTAGAGAAATACAGGGTATCAGATGTAAGATATCGATACTAGATGAGATCACAAGAAACCAAATATCTCAATAGAGAAATACAGGATATCAGATGTGAGATATCGATACTAGATGAGATCACAAGAAACCAAATATCTCAATAGAGAAATACAGGATATCAGATGTGAGATATCGATACTAGATGAGATCACAAGAAACCAAATATCTCAAGAAACCAAATATCTCACAAGAAACCAAATATTAGAGAAATACAGGATATCAGATGTGAGATATCGATACTAGATGAGATCACAAGAAACCAAATATCTCAATAGAGAAATACAGGATATCAGATGTGAGATATCGATACTAGATGAGATCACAAGAAACCAAATGTCTCAATAGAGAAATACAGGATATCAGATGTGAGATATCGATACTAGATGAGATCACAAGAAACCAAATATCTCAATAGAGAAATGCAGGATATCAGATGGGAAAAAAATTAAATCCCTAAATGAAATTCCAGCAATCAAGGAAATGCCAAAACAGAAACAGCAGTTAAAGGCACAAAAACAAGACAATAGGAAAAGCGTTGTAGGTTCTATTGACAAAATAAAATATTCCAAACGCACCTTACAGGGAAATTGGAAAAGCAGTTATACATGTCAAAAAGTCACCATCTATTGAAAAGTGCATAAATTTTGGAAGAATATTTGAGGCAGGCCAAAGGAATTTAACCCCAATGCAGAATGGATCCAACTAGAAGAACGAATGCTGGATAAACCTTTACAAGACAGGGAAAACAACCACGAATAATGTTAGGCAAACTCTAAAGAAATCCTCAAGATGAAAATCCTTAGGAAATAACAAGGTATCCAATTTTTGGTTCTATCATCTGTAAAACCCTTGCACAAACTCTATCAATTCTTATTAATAATCCCAATGAACTCCTAGAATGGGTCACGGAAGGTATTACATAACTCCTGTCAGAAACGGTTGAAACAGATGATCCGAAAAATTATAGGCCAATAACATGTCTGTCCAGCACGTATAAATCGATCACGCCTGTCGTGATGAACTCTTTTCTTCATGAAACAAGGGATGCCGGAGAGATTCGTATGGTTGCAAAGATAAACAAAATGATCCTGGAAAATTGCAGGAAAAGAGGTAGAAATCTCAGCACAGCATGAATAGATTACCGTAAGGCCTTTGATAATGTACCACATTTTTGGATCCTTAAGACTTTAGAAATGTACAACGTTTCCTCGGTGGTAGTAAATTTCTTTAAACACCGCACCAGAATGTGGAAAACCACATTGTATTAGGTTGGTGCAAAAATAATGACGTAATAATGTTGTTTTTTGACGTATTTTTTAACGTCAAAAAACGACATTATTACGTCATTATTTTTGCACCAACCTAATACCTAAATCACACAAGAGGCATTGCTATCTTCAACCTCCTGAATATGAGACAAGTAATCTTTCAAGGAAACTCCCTGTCGCCTCTTATGGTTTGTCTGTACTTAAGCCCCCTTACGCATGAACTAAACAATAATAGGTATGGATACAAATTAAGCAAGAAAGTATTCAATGACCTATTCTATATGGATGATCTTAAACTCTTTGCCAAAGACGATAATGAATTGGAGGTTTTCCTCAATAATCTATAATGTTTTCAGTGACGACATAAGTATGTATTTCGGATTAGATAAATTTGCAAAAGTAACATTCAGGAAAGGGAGAATTACAAAAACACATTCAATAGATCTAGATTTTGACAAAAATTAAAGAACTGGAACAAGAAGAAGCCTGTAGGTACCTAGGAATTAGCGAAGGAGATGGAATACACCATATCCAGATGAAGGAAAAAGTAAAAAAGGAGTACTATAGGCGTGTGGTGTTGAATACCAGGCTGAATTAAAAAAACAAAACAAAAAAACAAACAAAATATCAGCCACAAATACCTTGGCTGCCCCTGTGGTGCAATACAGTTTCAACATTTTAACTGTAACATAGCTGGCATTAAGCGAATGGACGCCAAAACAAGAAAGTTTCCCACTTGCCACCGTATGCATCGTCCCAAGGTTGATGTTGATTGTCTGTATGTGCCCAGATCAGAAGGAGGCGGAGCATTAATTCAACTAGAACTGTCAAGTGGTCACGTAGTGCAGGGTTAAAAGCTGAAACCGAGGGTGTTATTCTTGCTGCAGTGGACCAATGCTTGCTAACTAGAGATTACCAAGCACATATACTAAAAAAACAATGTTAGCCCAAAATGCAGATTCTGTGATAAGTATCCAGAAAGAATTGACCATCTTTTATCAGGTTGCACGTTATTAGCACACACTGAATATAAAACTCAGCATGACAGAGTGGGCCAATATCTGCATTGGAAAATATGCAACTTTTGCGGAAAGAAAACTGCAAGAAAATGGTATGAACACCACCCAGGCCTGGTTACGGAGATAGAACCTGTAACAATTTCATGGGACTTTACAATACACACAGACGAAACAATCAAATCTAATCGTCCAGACATCGTGATTAGGGACCGCAAAGACAAAATGCGCCTTCTTATTGACATGTCAGTCACTGCAGACTCTAATGTATCTTTAAAGAAGCAGAATACAAGGACCTTGAAATCGAAATCTCAAAAATGTGGCACATGAGGACATAAAAAATTCAGGTTGTAGTTGAATCCCTCGGAGTGATTGGGAAAGTTTCCGACAGACTCACTCAACGGATTTATAGAAGTTCATGGCTTCAAGAAATTGTTCTCACAATTACAACCAAAACCTTTCTCAAAAAATTCTCAGTGGAAAATGTCATGATGCCATTTCTGACCTTTGGTCCCTGATTGGGACCCGGAAAGAAATGAGTATACACCAGAAATCAAAGGAATAATAATAATAATAATATTAATAATAATAATAATAATAATAATAATAATAAAACATCTACAATTACAGTTGTGTTTGGAGCCTTGCGTTTTATTGGAAAAAGGGTTTGATAGACTCTTTGAAGTGATTTTTGGTATCCCATGCTTTAAAGAAATACAATAAATTGTTTTTACGAGTACATGCTCACACCTTACGAAGAGCTTTATGTAAAATGTGTGTGCTCTTAGGTTGCTTTATTTTTTTTTTTTTAATGTTCATTTCCTCACTGCCCCCCCCATCTGCAAGGTTATAGGTTCCGCTTTGTTTTTATCAAAATCTGCCAATCTATTGCGTACGCGTGCCTGTGATGCATGTGCCTGGTGTATTGACATATTGGGCTTCGTATATTTTGTCTCCCAGCGTCGCTTTGTTGGCGCGTTGTCCTCTCAAATAATAATAATAATAATAATAATACAGTGTAACCCGGATATAAGAGATCCGGATATAAGAGAAACCCGGATATAAAAGAGATTTTCTCTGGTCCCAAATTAGAGCCTGTCTTAATGTATATAAAATAGACCAAACCCGGATATAAGAGAAACCCGGATATAAGAGACTTCTTCTCCGGTCCCGACAACTCTCTTATATCCGGGTTAC